GGAACCGGTCTGTATGTGGGATCCGAACCCTCGACGGGAGCGCCTCCGCGCTTCCCAAGCGGCTCACTAGCGGAGTGCGCCACCAGGCCGGCCCTCTCTGTAAATGGTTTTGCTTTATGGCCTGGAGAATTGCTGTCTTTAGCATTGCTGAAATTGTTCACAGAGAAAATTAAGAAACTTGGGAGCCATTGTGAGATTATTACAAAGAGGAAGCAGCACTCCCAAGTGCCAGTGATGTATGGACAGAATTTGGGCTTCTACCTGGTGGTGCCCACTTACTGCTTCTTGTATTGGATTCTTCCTAGGGCTCAAGGAATCTTCACCCATGAGACTGATTTGCATCACAGTGCTTCTGACGACACTTGAAATGAATTGCTGGTCTGCAAGTCCATTTGAACACCATATAGCGACTTCCTAGATCTTCTATTACTTTACTCTACTCTATTACTTACTATTTTTTTCTGAAAGATAAATAGAAGCTGTGTTCTCTGTGATCTATGAGTTTTCAGAATAATAGAATTGCTCCTGGGGGTTGTTTACAGGTATTCTTGGGTGAGCATTTGGAGCCAAAAGAGTTTGATCATGACGATATGGGTGGAGGCAGAGGGAGCAAATCCAGGTGTTATTTTGCCTCTATCATAGAGTCTGACAGACCTGGGTTCAAATACCATCTCTGCCACTGATCAGCTATGTGGCCTTGGGCAAGTGACTTTACCTCTTTGAGCCTCAGTTTTCACTTCTGTAAAATGGGAATTATAAAGTCTCCCTTAAAGAGAGAGCTGGCCATTGAATGTTTTTGCCTGCTCAGCATCCTTCCCTCATTCTAGTACTAGGACCTTCCCCCATTCTTTGGGTAACTATGTGTCTTCTACTATAACTAAGGCCTTCCAGTGAGACTGCTCCCATGCCCCTCCCTGCCCAGGGCATTGGCACATCAGACTCCTTCCCTAGGATTTATATATACCAAGAGAGGAAAGAGGAGTTCACTTTTTCCGCTGGGGCAGCCAAGCTATGGGGATGCCAGCCTGGAGCTGCCTGTGATAATGTTTCCTGCATGAAGAGTTCAGGTATGGCTGGATCCAGGTGTTCAAATGAAGTCCTCAGAGCTCCATCTCTATTTCATGGTTCTATTCTCCTCCATGCTGGCTTTCACAGGGCCCACGCCCAACTCCAAATCAATCATTCTGACCAGGCTTGATTGGCCAGAAGGACTCATTTGGCCATCTTAAAACTTGGGGTTGCCAGAGCTGAGGGCCATTTCCCAAAGAAAGATTAGGGCACTGTTTTCAAAGAAGGGCAATGGGTCATGATAGGCAAAAACAACAGATCGACTCCAGCATCCCTGGAAGAGATAGCAGCTTGTGCAAAGGGGTGGAAGTGTAAAGAGGCCTTCTGTGAGCTCAGAAGTTGGAGGGAGAGGCACAGGGGTTGGATGGGTGACAAGAAAAAGGCTGAGAGAAGTTGGAACCGGATCATAAAAGGCTCATGTACCCCAGGTGACAGTGAGTTTCCACATCCATGGGATTATTTGCATGGAGGGGTGAGATAGGTCCTTAATCCCCTCACCCCCACCTCCACACTAGCACAAAATCTTGTAGATAACAGACACTCACTACATATTTGATGGGAAAATGAATAATGTTCACATTCTCCAAGAGAGGAGAAATTATAAAAAGGGAGGGAAGAGAGAGGGAAGATGCACATGTCCATTAAAAGATTTGGGGTTTGAGTGGCAGCCAAGTCCTCAAAATTGCCCTAGGCACTTTGTTTAAATACATTTAATTCTCACCACAGTCCTGTGAGGTAGGGTTTATAATGACAGTAGCTAACGTTTATTGAATGCTAGGTGCCAGACACTGTGTGAAGTGCTTTATCTTCATAAAATATCTCATGTTAATTCTCATAACAACTCTGTGAGGTAGGGATTATTTCGACCTCCATTTCACAGAAGAAAAAGCTGGATCCAGAGGGGTGAAGTGGCTTGCCTGAGGTTACACAGCAAGGAAGCAGCAGAGGTGGGATTTGAATCCGGGTACATTGTGATTTCATACAATTCTAGAGTGGGTTCTTTTTGTTCCTCCCAGGAGACTTTTATTTGTTCATTTCTGGCATGAGGATGATTCTCTCAGTGTCACTGGAGAAGAGGATGGTCCGTCCTTGGACCTTGGTTACACCAGGCCAACTGATGATGGGCAGGAGACTGGCCAGGACTGCATTGAGGATGGCGGTCATGTAGCCCCAGCCCAGCTGGCACTTCCCACCATAGTATCTGGAGGAGGCTTCGCAGACTTCCTTGGCAAATGGAGAGCCTAGGCTGATTGGGAAAACCAGCAGGCCCACAATGGTGGTGGTGGCTGGAGACAGCAGGAGACGAAAAGTGTGTCAGTTAAAGGGCATTGGGCCAACCTTCCATTCCAGGACTCATTCTAACCTGCTATCCACCCACCATCCACCCACCCACCCGTTCATTTATTCACTTACTTATTGGCTCATCTCTCCTTTTATCCACCTACTCACTCAGCTACCCTTCTAGCCACCTGTTCATCCATTCATTCATCCATTTAACCATATTCTTACCCACTCATTCTCTTCATCCCTCTATCCACCTATCCATTCACTCATCCATCCACCTATCCATCCGCCTACTTAGCCACCTGCTTTCTACCTATCCTCCCATCCATCCATCCATCCATCCATCCATCCATCCATCCATCGTCTTCCATCCATTCAACCATATTCCAATTTACTCATTTTCCCTATCCATCCATCTATCCATCCATCCAATAATATATCCATCAATTCATCTATCAGTTCATCCACCCACTAACCAACCCTCCCATCCATCCATGCATTTATTCACCAAAACTGTTAGAAGTGCTGTGGTGGGCAGTAATAATACTAAAGAAATGAGCTCCTCACCTCCAAGGCACTCCCAGTGCAGAGGAATCAGATGACTCCCACTTCCCTGGCTGCTCTCCAGCCACACTGATGTACTTGCAGTTCCCTGCACAAACCTTCCTCTTGTCTCCATGCCTTTGCCCCTGATGTTTCCATTATCTGGAATGCCCCTGTACCCTTGGCAAACTCCTGCTCATCTTTCCAGACTCAGCTCAAGTGGTACCTCCTGCAGGAAGCTTGCCTTAACACCCTCCACACGCTGGGTCAGGTACCTCCTGGAATTTTTCCTAGCATCCTGTGCTCATCCTGTCTTGTCAATATCCATTGAATTGTAACTGCCCGATCCACCCTACTCCACAACTAGACATTGTGCAAGCAAGCCTAGGACAAGGACTGTGTCTTCATCCACTGACCCAACAAGTATTTATTGAGCATCTATTTGTGTGAAGCACTGTGCTAGGTGCTGGCAGTAACAAGGCAGACAGACATGTCCTTGCACTCATGGAGCTGGCGTTCTAGTGGAGAAAGAGGGACAATAATCAAGTAGGCAGATAAGATAGTCAGGTAAGTGAGTAAGTGCTTGAAAAATTTAAAGCAAGGTCAGCATATGGAGAAACTAAGGAGAGGGTAGCTTCTTTAGCTAGAAACAATGGAAGACCTCAAGGAGGCAGTGACATCTGAGCAGAGCCCTTAATGAAATGAGGGAGCAAGACATGCAAAGATCTAGGGAAAGAGAATTCCCGGCAGAGGAAGCAAGCGTGATGAACACAAACAATGGAAAGCAAGCCAGGGTGGCTGGAGGACATTAAGCCTGGCAGAGGGTGCAAGAGATCAGGGTGGGAGGGCATGGGGCAGGATCAGATGAAGTCTTATAAACCACAGTAACGACTTTAGATTTTACTCTGATTGTGGTGGGAAGCTATTGGAAGGTGGATAAGCCAGTCTGAGTGGCATGATCTGATATCAATTTCAATGGGACCTGTTTGTCCAGTGTGTGGCAAATAGACTTTAGGGAGCAAGGGTGGCAACAGGGAGACCTGTGATGTGCTTATCGTTATAATCCATGTGAGAGACGGTGAAGAATTAATTAGGTGAGGATTGCAATCAAGACCTGGACTAGCGCATCCAGAGGTTATGTGTGAATTAGAGAAGAGCAACCCTTCTCAGCAGATGCAGGTTCACAGCTTAACTAGTAGAGCATGAGCTGGATTTCAGCATCTTATCAGCTTTCAGCTGGGAACCCTTGTGCAGTATACAACCTGTCCAACTGTGTATGGTGGCCCTGGTGAAGATGACACCAAGTGGATGGTTGAGAGAAACAAAAGGGGATAGATTATTAGGACAGGGTTAGCTAAGGGTAGAAGAGAGTGACATTATGAATGCCATCTTCCTCTCCCCCTGACTTCAGGCTTGCTAAAGGACCAGGAATAATCTACAATTCTAGGGTTTATCTCTGAGACATGAATCAGGAGACCAAACTCTGCTCACAGTCTTTTTCATTTATTCATTCATTCATTCCATAAATATGTCTGTAGCACTTCCTATGTGTGCCCGTAGATTTACCTGCTGCTAACTGCACCCCTAGAAATGGGCCACTGCCCCTTCTTGGGCACAACCCTTTGGGGGCTAGGGCCCAGGACAGGAGGAGAATTGCATTGATGGCCAACAGGAGCCAACCTCCAAGGAGCAGCACAGCTGAGACCTGCCAGGAAGAGACAGGAGGAAGGATGTTGCCTGAGATGGGGGCAGGCGGATGCTCCCGCTGTTTATTGAACAGCCCCTGAGTCCTCACAATACTCCCATGAATTCTATGCTATTATTATCCCCATTTTACATGTATACAAACTGAGGCCCAGGGAATTGGAGTCATCAATCTCGGTTCACACAGCTAATTAAATGGCAGATCCAGATCAACTGACCACTATACCGGCATTTATTAAGTCCTTGCTACATGTCAGGATCACCAGGAGAGGCACCTGGGAGGTGCTGTCACATCGCCTTTGTAGTGATCAGTTTTGTAATAATCTTCCTTAGAGATGCTGGACTGGGAGCCCTTACCCATTCTCCCCATTGCTGATTTTGGTACTGTGCATCATAACAGGCACTTTAATACCTTAGCTTTCATTTTCAAACCTAGCAGTGCATAGAGGGTGGCCAGGTAGTACACAGAATTGTGCAAATTATACACCGCACAATTCTATGAGATGCATTTGGGGTCAACATAGATTTGCTTATTCATTATAGGGATTTTCCAGCAGATGGCAGTATAGTATCCTAAAAAAGGGGTACCTTTTCCTAATCAGCACAAAGGTGCTATATGGGCTGGCAGCTGCCTTTGGAATCATCCTGGGTGTTTGCTAAAATACAGGTAGCCAGACCCCAATCCACACCTACAGTGTCGCAGCCGCCAGGTGGAGCCAAAACTTGGCATTTTTGTAAAGCACCACATGTGTTTCTGAAGGGCTGTCAGGTTTAAGAACCTCTGTGCTCAGTTCTAAGGAAACACTAATGGCGGGTTCCTAGGCCCAGGGACACCTACACGGTGAGAAAATACAGGAGCCAGCTTTCCTGCCCTGATGGGGTTGACAGTGCCCCTGAGGAGCCTGTGAATTGATAAGCTCAGGTCTCACCTTCCATGCAAAGTCAGGAATATCCTCCAGGGACCTGAAGGTCACCCAGCAGTTCTGGTTCCAGCTGTCACCCTGAGGCCAGGAGCAGTAGGTGAGGACACCAAAGGAGAAGGTGGGCGTCTGGAACCAGGCAGGGGAGAAGAGGCTGAGGGCCGAGATGCAGGTGAGGGAGAACCCCAGAACTGCCAACACGCTGCTCACCATTAGGAAGTGTAGGTGACCTAGGGGACAACAGGCAAGATTAGCAGTGAAGGCTGCCAGGACAAGGAGAGAAACGGGCTGGCGGAGTTGTGCCCCCAGCCAGGGATCTGGTCCTGTGGTCAGACCCCAGGTCCTCAGCCCCCCTTCAGTCTGGAATACAATAGGAGGTACTAGTAACTGCAGTAGGGTGGGAGTGGGGGCTGGGGGACTTTGCCCTAACAAGTTCTAGAAGTAGAACTCCCAAATCCTGGAATCAGCAGACCTTTGAACACTCCCCAGTCCACCTTCTGCATGGCAAATGATGGTCACTGCTCCATGCAAAGCCCCTTTCATGTTTTATGTATTCATTCATTCTCTCAGCCCCGTAAGCCTTCGCTGTCCAAAAGGGCTGCTTCTACCCAGAGAGGTGCCTTTTTAAAATTCACACACAGCTGCTGTGTTTCTAGTAGCCACCCTGCCCATTAGCTAACTCCTCCCAATCGGTAACCATTTTAATTGTCTGATGTGCATCATTTTGTTTGGAGGTATTTTTGCAAAATCTGAGTTGTGCAGTATATGTGCCTTTTTCATTTATGTAAATGGCATTATTTTGTGTATCGCATTCTTCTTCCTACTTTGGGCAGGAAGCATAATGTTTTTAGCATTGATTTGTGTTGCTGTGTGTACATCTATTCCATTTGTCTTGGTTTGGGTTCCCTAGAGGTAGGTCCCAAAGGCCTTACCTCCTAATACCATCATCTTGGGGTTAGGATTTCAACATATGAATTTGGGGAGGACACAAATATTCAGTCCCTAGCAAGAGTCTAGTGAGACTTTGTGAATGTGGTTTAATTATCCTTGTATTTGTTGCTTGATTTTGGGCATGATACTGGATTTCCAATGAAAATTAAAATGTATTTTAATAAAAAAACAAGTCAATTTAAAGTCAAGTCTCACCTAAATAATAACAGAGGTGGTTGGATGACGTGGCTGAGGTCAGAAGGTGGTTTGCTAATAGCCAACACTGTCATTAATGACAGTAAGAGAAGCCCAGAAGGGTGAGCCTGCCCAAGGGCACCCAGGGTCAAAAGTGGCTGAACTGCCAACCAGGCCAAGGGCACCTACACAGACTTCCCAGGGCCAGGGCTCTTCAACCTTGCATTTCACTTTGGCAATCTAAACCCAGATCCTGGGCCTGGAGGCCGACCAGCCATTCTACCATTTCCCAGCTGTGGGATCTGGGGCAAGTTGCCCATTGCTCTGGGCCTCAGTTTTCTCTATCTGTACAAGAAGGTTATAAATCCCAGCGGGCTGGTAGTGCTGGGTTTAATCACAGAGCAGGCTCATGTGGTGGGAAGAGGTGGAGAGGCCCAGATCCTCCCTTCCCAGCTGTGTAAGCTTGAGGAGGTCACCTTACCTGTCTGGAAAATAGGAGTGGGGGTCGTTGTGAAGGTTCAAGGAGTAAAATGTGTATGTATGCTGTAGGGGGAGGGGCAGAGATAAGCCTGGGCAGGTAGGTCAGGGTCAAGTTGCATGGGCTTTTTATCCTGGGATTAGAAAAACCTCCTGGCTGCTTGCCAGCAAGTGAGATGTGCTCCCTTAAGTAAGGGAGGATGGGTTTTGTACACCAAAATCAGCCTCTCCTCTGGGTTGGCAGGATCCCGAGGGATGTAATTCCAACCAGGAAGCTGGGGAGAGCTGAGTCCACTGAGGCCTGTGATTTTGCCAATCACTGGCTGCACCGTGGCTCTCTGGGCGTTTCTGACCTTGAAAGGAGTTTTGTTCTCCAAATAATGTTCAATGTCACCTGGGAAAATCATATCTACCATCCAGGTGCCCAGAAACCTAAATGAGGCATTATAACCTGAAACCACACCCAGCCAGGCTCCAATTCGCTGGAATCCACCTAAGAGAAGCTTGAAAGAAACTGAGTATTTTCTCCTCTGACTCAGCACTTAACTTGTATCAGCAGTCAACAATCCTTAAGGACTTACCATGCTGCATTCTAAACAATTTCAATGCCTCATTTCATGTAAGCCTCATAGCTACCTGATGAGGTAGGTACTACTAGCATTGTTCCCATTTTACAGATGACAAAACTGAGGCTCAAGAAGCAAGCAGTGGATCTGGAGCTAAAACTTAGGGAATGAGCCTGAGCCCTAAGTCTAAAGTGATATTAAAGTTTTAGCTTAAGGGCCGGCCTGTGGCTCACTCGGGAGAGTGCGGTGCTGATAGCACCAGGGCCACAGGTTTGGATCCCATATAGGGATGGCCGGTTCGCTCACTGGGTGAGCGTGGTGCTGACAACACCAAGTCAAGGGTTAAGATCCCCTTACCGGTCATCTTTTAAAAAAAAAAAAAAGTTTTCGCTTAAAAGCCTAATACCCCAGCGGCTTCCTGGGGCTGCCCAAGGTTAAGGCATGGCCAACTCTCCCACCTGCTCCAGCCAGGGAGCATGGATGGATATCCAACAATGCATGAATATTGCCATTGCAGAATCTCAGGAGGAGAACTGGGATTTGGGAATTTAGATGTAGCTGCTGGCTTCCATGTCCTTATCTGTAAACCAAAGGGGTTGATCATTCATTTTTTCAACTTTTATGTGTCCAGCCCAATGAGACCCCCACCCCCCCACTTGTGGAATACAGTGCTGAACAGAACATAGTCTCTGCCTGCAAGAAGCTTAGAGACTTGTGGGCAAGACAGACAAAGAGGATATAACAATATGGTCTGTCTATCCATCCATCTTTCCATTCAACAAATGGTTATTGAGTATCTACTATGTTCCAGGAACTGTTCTAGGTACTGGGGATTCAGCAGAGAGGAAAACCAAGCCCTTCCTCGTGGAACTTACACTGTAGTGGAGAAAAGAAACAGCAAGGAAAAAAACAAGTCAACATGTAATATACTAGATGTTAATAAGTGTCATAGAGAAAATGAATTGGGAAAGGGAGACAGAGAGCAATTGGGAGATGGTCATGAAAAGCCTCTGGAGAAGGTGACCTTTGAGCAGGGACCTGAAGGAGATGGGAAGGGAGCCATGTGGATATGTGGGGGAGGAACATCCCAGGCAGAGGGAGGAGCAGGTGCAAAGGTCCTGAGGTGAGCGTGTGCTTGCTTGGCACATTTGAGGAAGCAAAGAGGCTGTGTGACTGGAAGGGAGGAGGGAAGAAGGGGGAGGGTGGCGGGACTCGCAGGCAATGATAGAGCTTTGGCATTTAACTTCTGAGTGGGATGGGGAGTTGGTGGACGGTCTTGAGCAGGGGCATGACGTGAACTGCCTTCTGTTTTAAAAAGCCCACTTCAGCTGCTAGGTGGAGAATAGGCAGAAGGGAAGGGACAAGAGAGGCAGTCAGAAGGTGACTTGTCAGTCAGG